TCCCTAAGCCACATACTTGGTGTTTCATTAAACAAAAGGGGGGAGATGTTGAGAGCCACGGCTAGGTCAAGATGGTGCCTGGCATTTTGCCAGAAGGAGCGGTTCCTGCTGCCTCGCATGCCCACTATTTTTGAGCTTTCGGGGAGTTCCTAGAGAGTTCGCGTGGGTTGGTTGAGTTCCGGTTGGGCGCTCTCAGACTTCCTAGAGAGTTTGCATGGGTGGAGTTCACGGGTTGAGTTCCAGTTGAGTGCTCGGAGAGCCCCGAAGTTCCGGTGGAGCTCTCGGGGAGTTCCTGGAGAGTTCACTGTGGGCGGCATGCGGCATGGGTTCTAAAAATAAATTTCGTTCCTGCTTGAATCTTCAAGTGGCTCTTGATTTGTGCCCAGCCAGACTGCAGCACTATGTGGTAGGTATTATGCTAAATAGGTATTATGCTAAATATTAGGAATCCAAAGATTAGTCAGAATTCCTATAATAAAGGAGCTTATTATCCAGAAAGTTTCATCTACGATAAGATAGCTGAACAGGAATCAAGTGATGAATAATTGATGGTAATTAATGCAGCTATCAAGGGATACTGACTACAAATATTAATGCTTTTTCTGAAATACTAAGACAATGCAGAATGAGATACAACTTTTTTAAAATTATGTACTCAGGTTAAGATAGGGTAAATTCAGCTCTATTCAAACATTTTCCCAGTATGAGAATTAAAAAGATACTTTTCAGTCTAGAAGACACAAATTTTTAGACATATATAACCTACTCAAATTGAAAAGGAAGATATAGAAACCCTAAACAAATCAATATTGATTAATGAAATTAAAACAGCAATTAAAAGTCTTCCACCAAATAAAAGTCCAGAACCAGATGAATTCTCAGCTGACTTCTAACAGACCTTTAAAGAAGAACTAACATTAATCTTTCTCAAATTAATCCATGAAATTGAAAAGGAGGAAACACTCCCAAACATATTCTATGAATCCAGTATAATCCTGATGTCAAAATCAGACAAAAGTCACATCAAGGAAAGAAAACTACAGACCAATACTCCTGATGACCACAGATGCAAAAAATTCTTTTTTTTATTAGTTGCTCAAGACAACACAATTGATCTTGACATATCATACATTTGATTCAAATGGGGTGTGAATTCTTATTTTTCCACATGTACAGATTTCAGGATAACATTGGTTATACAGCCACATTTATACATACAGAAATACTTGTATCTGTTGTATTCTGCTGCCCTTCCTACCCCCCCTCCCCTCCGGTCCCTCCATCACCTCTCTCTAAAAATTTTTAATATTAACAAACCACACTCAAAAACACATGGAGAAGATAATATACCTATATATATGATTCCTAGTATTTAGTGTAATATCTACAACATAGTAGTACTTAATTAATATTATTTAATGCAGAATAAGTGCTGTAGTAAGAACTATATATGACATTTCCAGGAATTGGGGACATTATGGATTTTTTTTTAACTGTGTTGTTTTCCAGTCCCCAATTTCTAACATCCTTGTAATGAACTGCCCTGCTTAAAGTTTTTTGTTGTTAATAAAGCTCACTAAGGGAAGGAATATAGGAAATATAGAATGATCAAATAGGTTTCATCCTAGGGATGCAAGGTTGGTTCAACATATGCAAATAAATAAATGTAACTCACCACTTAAATAAAATTGAGGACAAGAAACATATGATTATCTCAATAGACGCAGAAAAGGCCCTTGATAAAAATCCAGGCTTCATTCATGTTAAAAACACTAAAGAAACTAGGGATAAAAGAAACTTACCTCAGCATTATGAAGGTTATACATGACAAACTCAAAGTCAACATTATAGTGAACACAGAAAAACTGAAAGCTTTCCTTTAAAATCAGGAACAAGACAAAGATGTCCATTCCCACCACTTCTACTCTATTTAGCTCTTTAAACTCTAGCCGCAGCAACCAAGCAAGAGAAGTAAATTAAAGGGATACAAACAGGAAAAGAAGAATTCAAAATATCTGTTTGCTGATGACTTGATCTCATATATATAGAAGACCCAAAACCTCTACCAGAAGACTTCTAAATCTGATAAATGAGTTCAGCAAAGTAGCAGAATACAAGATCAACACTTATAAATCAATAGTTTTCCTATATTCCAATATTGATTCCACTGAGAAAGAAACTAGGGAAACCACTCCATTCAGAATAACTTCAAAAAAATAAAATAAAATACTTGGGAATTAATCTAACCAAGCAGGTGAAACATCTCCATAATGAAAATCATAGAACATAGAAGAAGGAAATTGAAGACAACTTAGAAGATGCAAAGAAATCCCATGTTCTTGGATAGGCAGAATTAATGTTATAAAAATGGCCATTCTACTAAAAGCAATTGATTTAATGTAATCCCCATCAAAATACAATGACATTCTTCACAGAACTAGAAAAAAAAAAGTACTAAAATTCATTTGGAATAATAAGATCCATAATAGCCAAAGCAGTCCTCAGCAAGAAGAGCCATTCAGGAGGCATCACAATACCTGACCTTGAATTATACTACAGAACTACAGGAAAAAAACAAACATGATATTGGATCAAAATAGATATGAAAACCAATGGAACAGAATAGAAGATGCAGAGACAAACCCACATATTTACAGCCATCTGATACTTGACAAAGGTGCCAAAAATATATGTTGCAGAAAAGAACCTTCTTAACAAATGGTGCTGGGAAAACTGGATATCAATATGTAGAAGAAGAAATTAGATCATTATCTCTCACCCTGAACAAAAATTAAAATGGATCAAAGTCTTAGAAATTGGACCCAAACTTTGCAACTGCTAGAATAAAACATAGGGTCAACATTTCACCACACTGGTGTGTGAAGTGACTTCCTTAACAAGTCCCGTAAGGCTCAAGAAAAAAAAAAAAAGAATCAATAAGTGGGATGCCATCAAATTAAAAAGATTCTACACAGCAAAAGTAATGACTAAGAGTTTAAGAGACTCTACAGAAAGAGCTTTACCAGCTGGTCCTCCGACCAGGGATTAATATCCAGAATATATAAAGAACTCAAAAAATTCAATGCCAAAAAAAACAAATAACCCAATCAATAAATGGTCAAAAAAACTAACAGACATTTCTCAAAAGATGAAACACAAATGGCCAACAAATATATGAAAAAATGTTCGACATCTCTAGCAATTAGGGAAATGCAAATCTAAATGACAATTATCAAGACTATAAATTTTAATAAATGCTGGTAAGAATGTGCGTAACGGTTCACTCATACATTGTTGGTAGAACTACAAATTAGTACAACTACTCTGGATAGCAGTATGGAGATTTCTTTAAAAACTAGGAATGGAACCACCATATGACTATCCTTCTTAATGGTTTTTATCCCAAAGATCTAATATCATCATACTACTGTGATACATATACTTCAATGTTTATAGCAGCACAATTCATATTAGCCAAATTAAAGAATCAGAACAGATGTCCATCAATAGATGCATGGATTAAGAAAATGTGATACACACACACACACACACACACACACACAATCAAGTTTTAGTCAGCCATAAAGAATGTCATTATAGCATTTGCCAGTAGATGGAAAGAAATGAAGAGCATGATACTAAGTGAAATAAGCCAGATTCAGAAAATCAAGGATTGGATATTTTCTTTCATATGCGAAGTGAGGGCAAGATAAGGGAAGGTGGGAGGGTTGAGTATCATAAAGATATAGATAAGATCAGTGGGGTAGAAGGAGGATCAAGAGGGAGGGAGGACAGATGGAAAAGGGAGAAAATGAGGAATTAATTTAACAAAGTCACATCATATGCATATATAAACATATCACAGGGAATTTCACCTTTATGTATATGTAGAAAGCACCAATAAAAAATAAATAAGGGAAAGGAAGATCAATAGAGTAGAAGAAGGAGAATGAGGAGAGGGAAGAGAGGAGGGAAAGGTAGAGAACAGGTACTGAAATAAGGTAAATCAAATTCCATGCATATATGATTTTGTCACAATGTACCCCCAATACTATATATAGCTACAATGCTCTAAATTTTTAAAAAAAAAAAGATACTTTTCAAATTTAGAAACAGTTCAATACAAGAATAAAAGAAAGTAACACTTGTGTAAAAAGAAATACCTAGTGAAACAACAAGCAGTTGTACATAAAAGATGAAAATACAAACTGGTTTTAAAATATAAATTAATTAAATTCCATAATAATGATTTTATCATCACACACCTCATCCAAAATAAATGGACCCTCATACAAATAATACTTCATTCTCCTACACAACAGATTCTACAAATGAAAGAGAATAATCACATAATATACTCTCAGAATTGCTGACCCTGCAAATCATTGGGGCTTAAACTATAAAGTAAATAATTAAAATTAGAGCCCTCAATAGAGAATTCCAAATAAAAATTATTTTTAAAATCTCAGGGGACTAGGGATGTAGTTCAAAGGAGGAGCATTTGCCTAGCACGAGAAAGGCCTTAAATTCAAGACCCAGCAAAAAAAAAAAACAAACAAACAACAACAAAAAAAACTTGAGGTTGAATAAGTTCAAAGTTTTAGAAATATCCAACTCTATATAAAGTATAGAAATTTCTTAAAATATAACCCTGTGACACTATACAACTCCTACCCCAAAAAACCAACCATTACATAGTTACAGGCTTTCTTATACAATCTTATTTGAAATATGCAGTTATGAACAAGAGCATAATATATAAATGAACTGGCAGTCACTTTTTCATTAAATTCTAACCATACAAATGTAGGTTTGTCCTATGAGAAAAATCATAGTTTAACAATTTAGATCTTAATCTCCCAAGGATCTTCTGGCAATTAGAAGGACATATTCTGACATTAATTCCCTATTTCCATAACCTCAGAAAATAAATATTTCTAATCAGGCACTGAAAGGGTGAGAGACAAAATAATAAAATAAATAATGAATGACATATTTACCGGTTTGATTCGAAGCTGACCACCCACTACCTCAAGAATGGCATGTCTTCTGGATACTCTCTTGTCAGTTATCTACAGGAGAAAAAATTAAAAGTCCAAATACAGCTACATGCTTCAGAAAACACAAAACAATTAAGCAATTAAAACCCTTGGCAATGCTTCTGAAATCAGTAGGCTAGCTTGGAAATATATCATTCACCAAACAACTTTAAATTGAAATGATTATCCTCATTTAACAGATAACAAAACAACTCAGAAATTAAGAGACCTGCCCAAAGACACGGAAGAGTAAATGATGGAGACTAAGATCAGCTTGGAATCTAAAAGATCCCAGAACTTTACATGATAGTTCTGTTCATGATGGTCACCTAGTAGGGAATCTTACCAACAAAATTAATAAAATGAGAACAAAATGTATATAATATGTACTCATTAGGAATCATTTCAAATACAACAAATATATATTATGTTATAATGACAAAAATTTTAAGAGGCAGTTTAGTAAATGGTATAACTAAAGGCTATGGGGTCAGAGGAATATACAGATTAGGCAGACCTGTATTTAAGATCTGGGGCCATCATAGTAGTTAAGAAAACAGGTAGGCAATAGTGAGACTAGTAAAATCCAAGTATTTACAGTGAAGAAGAAATTAACATCTTCATTTTTTAAAAAAAAAAGCATAATTATATATTTATATTTATATCTAAACAGGAAATATATATATATTTCCTGTTTAGATCCAATAATGTTCTAAATGTGCTTACAATCACTTCTGCATACTCAAGTTCAAATATTGTTTGAACTTTAAATGCTAAAAATGATAATCATTCCCACTTCACTGTAAACTCAATAATTAAGACTACTTTTTTTATTATTTGAGATTGATACATAATTAAAACATTTTAAACCCCAACTTCACTTAACACCATAATTATCTCGCTCATCTCTTAGTTACCTTACTATCTAGCACTGTAACTCTGGCATTATCCACAGCAGGACCAAAATTACCTTTAAAAGCAGACTATTACAACAATGCATAATTACAATTAAATCCATTATCTCTGCAAGACCTTGCAAAATGTGAAAATGCCAGGAATTAGTACTCATTTTTTCAAAACCAGATAGCAATTCCATACTTAAGGCTATGATGTTATACAAGTATTAATGAAGTATCATAACAGAATGAGTATCACATAATGAATTTTCCACAAAACCAAAGTTAATTTTTAAAATACTTTCTACAATAAAATTTATTAAAGATAGCCCATTTAAAATATATGTAGTATTAGCCCCAATGGCTATTTCAGAGAAGTAGATATAAACTAATAGTCTATATTAACTTTCAAATAAAAAAGGACATAAATTAAAAGATTCCTTGATCTCATCATATCCAATGCATTACTATGCCAAAAATAATAGCAATTATTTATCAAGACCAAGACACTATTCTATACTTATCATGTATCATCTTTTTTAGTGTTCACAAAAATTATGGAGAAGGTATTATTGTCTTCATTGTATAGGTGAGAAAATGGAAAGGCAGAGATATTAAGCAACTACTCACCCTCAATATCATTACATAAAACTATTTATATCCTCAATATCATTACATAAAATAAAATCTCATTTTTAAAAACAATTTACACAGTTTATTGTCTAAACTGGAACATAGTAAAGAACTGGAAATAAGGGGATAATGGCTACTTAATCACCAAATAGATATACTGGTAAGATGCAGGCTCTAAATAAAGCTCCAAGAGAACTTCAGGCTTCCATTTGATTCTGCTTATTCTAATATCATACCCAAAGATGTCATCCAAATTCCTAATTCCCTTTTCATGTCATATAATAAAATAAATCTTAGGAGTCAGAGCATTGACAATGGAGAATAATGTCTGATGTTGGTCTGCAAGTGAAAAGAGAAAGAATATTAAAAAGCAAAGAAATCCAAGGACTCAAAAAGAATATACTAGGCCGGGCACAGTGGCATATGCGTGTAACCCCAGCGCTCAGGAGGTGGAAACAGGAGAATCGAGAGCTCAAAGCCAGTATTAGCAATTTAGCAAGGTGCTAAGCAACTCAGTGAGATCCTGTCTCTAATAAAATACAAAATAGGGCTAGGAATGTGGCTCAGTGGTTAAGCACCCCTGAGTTCAATCCCTGGTACCCCCCCACAAAAAAAAAAAAAAGAGTACACTGCCTAGAGGCCACTTAGGGTAGGAACAAATGTCATTACAAACTTCAAAGTACACTGACAGTATACCCAAGTTTACTTACTGATTAACCAAAAAATCACCACACTTAAAAATTTCAGCTGAAAACCAAACATGTCATATTTTAGGAAGGCATAAAAATAGTTGAAATTGAGGCATTTTAGCTCCTGTAGAATAAGTATAGACACCTAAACTCTAATCATACCACACACCATCCAAGAAGTAAAAAAAAAAAAAAATCAACAAATAGAGCAAATGATACTATTGTATTCCATATCTAAAGCATAACTGGGAAATCCTTTAATTTACATCTAAGAGGGGAAAAGAAATATTAAATCTAGATCAGGCTATAGATCTTATGATGTAGCAGAAAAAATCAGGTGGCAACTGGGAGGAAGAATGAGATAAGGAAGTGGAGAACTAGGGATCCAGGAACAGAGATAATATCTCTCCCAGAAAAAGTAAGTCACATCTCAAGTGGGGAATACTGAAAACACATCTCAAACCTAGTATTTCAGAGGCCCAGCTACTGGGGAACCCCAAAAAAGAAGGTGGAATATGTTGAACCAGATATAGCAAACTCAGAAAGAGAAACATCTCAGGAAGAAGGGGGGACTCCTGGAAGAAAGAATACATCCAATTACACAGATCTCGACTTTTAATACCATTCCCCCACTTAGAGAAACCAGAACTCTTTGGCAAAATGATTGATTCCATATCTGGGTGTAGAGGACCACAAACAAGTTAAGATGATGTTAATTAAGTTAAGCTGTGTATAATTATTAAGATGAAGTAACACCAGCGAGCCATTAAGATGATAGAGATTCCTTAATGACTGACTGCTGTATCTAATGATGTTAAGCTGTGTATAATTATTAAGATGATGAGGATTGCTGTAACTGGATGATGCTAAATTGAAACAAGCTCTGTATTCAGTGATGTATACATACCCCTGCAGTCCTACAATAAACGGCTCCCACTCCTGCTGTATCAATCTTCACAAGTTGCTCATCACCCCCCCACCCCCCACCCCGGTTAGTTTGCTGCAGCCAGACTGCGGCATCTGGGGAAAGAAGAAAGTATAATATGGACCTTGAGCACATGTCAACAGGACAGACACAGCAGTGTGAAAAGACTCTCACTGAACAAATTTGGAACAATTTAGCCATCAAAATGACTAATGATAGTAATAGATTATGACACATTAACAAACTGAAGAAATGGCATGGGACAGGGAAGTAAAGCTTTGTCTTTATAAAAGAATGTCAGATAAAGTAGAAGAAATCATAGAACACAAAAATCACTATGTGTTAACTACCAGTCTCAGGTCATCATCCTACAAACTGCTTACAAAAGAAACGGTATCTTTACTGTAACATCTGACAGACACCACCAGACCTAAGTGGTTACACTTATTACATCACTGATCAGTGAAGTAAAGGACCATATAAGGAGTGAATCAGAGAGAAAATATAGAAAGTAAAAGATCACTTCAATAAAGAGATAGATTTTGAAAGAAAAACCAAGAAGAAATCCTAAAAAGGGAGGAATCAGTAACTAAATTTAAAATTCAGTTGAAAGCATCAACAGACTAGATCACCTGAAGACTGAGTTTTAGGCAATAAAAACAAAGTATATAATCCTGAAAACAAAGTTGACCATGGACAAAAGATGTTAAGAGACCATGAACAGAACTTCCAAGAAATATGGGATAACTTAAAAAGCACAAATTTAAGATTTATTAGAGGCAGGCGCAGTGATGCACACCTGTAATCCCAGCAGCTCAGGAGGCTGAGGTAGGAGGATCATGAGTTCAAACCAGCCCCAGCAACTTAGTGAGGCCCTAAGCAATTCAGTGAGACCATATCTCTAAATAAAATATTCAAAAGAGCTGGGGATGTGGCTCAGTGGCTAAATGTCTCTGGGTTTAATCCCCAGTACCAAACAAACAAAAGAAGATTTATTGGAATCGATGAAGGCTCAGAGATACAAACAAAAGGACTGCACAATCTATTCAATGAAATAGTATCAGAAAATTTCCCAAACCTAAGAACAAAATGGAAAATAAAATACAGGAGGCTTACAGGACCCCAAATATACAAAATGACAACAGATCCACACCAAGACTAATTATTTTAAAAATGCGTAACATTCAGAATAAGGATAGAATTTAAAGACTGCCATAAAAAACAACAGATAACATATAGAGGGAAACCAATCCAGATGTCAGCTGATCTCTCAATCCAGACCCTCAAAGCTATTAAATCTTGGAATAATATATACAAGCTCAGAAAGAAAATGGATGCCAGCCAAGTATACTATACTCAAGCAATATTAAGCTTCAGAATTGATAATGAAATAAAAACCTTCCATGATAAACAAAAGTTAAAAGAATTCAGAACTAAAAAATCTGCACTACAAAACAGACTCAATAAGATACTTCATGAAGAAGAAACAAAAAATAAAAGTGAAAACCAGCAAAGAGAAGAACTACCCTACAAGACTAATCAATCAAAGGAAAAACTAATTCAAATTAAAAACTAGAAATAAATCAAAATGACAAGGAATAAAAATTGTTATGGGGGGGGGGGGCTGGGGTTGTGGCTCAGCAGTAGAGCACTCGCCTAACAAATGCAAGCCACATGATCCTCAGCACCACACAAAAATAAATAAATAAGGGGCTGGGGTTATAGCACTTAACTAGCACATGTGAGGCCCTGGGTTCAATCCTCAGCACCATATAAAGATAAATATATAAAATAAAGATATTGTATCTATCTATAGCTACAAAAAATATTTTTAAATAAATAAATAAAGGTATTGTGTCCAACTACAACAAAAAAAAAATTTTTAAATTG